ATTTCATAAAACTTTCGACGAGCGTGACGGAGTTGACGTCAACTCCGTCACACCGTACACCAGATAAATCACTTTAATAACACAAAAGAGGGCAGAAAATCGGTAACACGGATGTTCTTTAGGTAGAATAGGTGATTCTACATCATTGTTAGCCTAAACACGTCCTGTTTACGGCTAGGTATTGAAAAAATATTTGTTAGAAGAGGTTGCCCACAAAAACATATGCTCTGAAACTGAACATATTTTGTGTGTTGAGAAGAACATGAGATGACGCAAACTCTCGATCTGGGCCAATTTGTTCCTCAAATTGGTCGATTTTCATGTTATTTTCATGAGTTTTGTTCTACATAACCCCTTTACCTGATAAATCTACACCTATTGTCAACTCCGTCACGCTGAGGTTTAGATTCGGGGACACGGTTTTCTTAGTTGTTTCAGGTAAACTGGAGAATGAAACACAATAACGATGTACACATCTTGTAGCTCGTCGATTTAATTATTGATTCCAACCGTTGTAAGTATTAAATACCTTCACAACGAAACCAAGGAAGGAAAATAAAGACGCCAGCTTGGGGCGGGGACCGTGAAGAAGTTGACATTTAGCTTACTTTAATTGAATTTTCTTTTAAATTTGAATAAAAACCTGTCGTTTTCGATCGGGATTATATAGGTGGGAGGTAAATACAGCCTTAGACATGTGAATTTCCGAACATTACAACGTTTAGAGAGAAAAAGTTGACATTTTACAAATCAGTTTCTGGACTTTTTTCTTAAATTTTGAAGTGTAAAACAAAAAATCATGAAAATACGACGATATGGTTTTGTAGCGCTCAGTTTGGCGAACAGTATGAGCACTTACCCATTTCGACAGAGCATAAATAGTTTAGGAGCCATGTCCGAAAAACCACAATAGTGCAGAAATCCAAAATGGCAGACTTTGAACGCACGTCGCGGGCAAACGCATGGCCCGATTTCGACGCGTCCTAACAACAATGTTCTAGCTGCAGTGTGCGGAATACACAATGTTCTATCTGCAGAACTGGGTTGCGCGCAGCCCTTCACCTTTGTGTGGTTTCCAAGTAACTAGAAGACATTAAGGCCAATCTGCGCACGCGGAAAGAATCGTAAAGGTCCAATGTTTAATTATTGACTGCAAAAAGTGAAGTAGAACGAGCGGTTACGGAGTAATAAGCATTTCTTTGGAGGTGTGCCGAAACCCGCGTTTTGCAGGTTGAGCATTGTGTATTCAGCACTTTGCAGATAGAACATTGTGTATTCCGCACGCTGCAGATAGGGTAAGGTGCCCTGTTATGGCCACTGTCCCATTGATGGCCACTTTTCTCGATTTCCAGAAAATCTGGTCACTTTGCCATCTTGGCCATGAAGTAGTGTCCTAGTAAGGTCTCTACTTGGGCATAAAAATCCGTCAAGTCCACATTGTTTAATGTGGCTTAAAGGGCTTCGCGTGCTTGGTGTGGACTGCTATGGACCGATAACCGCTGAGGCGCATATAGACATATCAAGCGCGATGCTCAACACTATGCATCTCTGCAAAGGTTAGTTGAATATATCAAAGGAATTTTCAGTCACAAAATTTTCTTAGATCAGGCACAGCTTTTGAACCAAGCCTCAAAAACATTGATTTCTGATTGAATATTAACATTTTCACCCCTCTTTTAAACAAGATTGATACTTGTAAGACAATGTAAAGGTGGGAGGGGGAGGGTCTCTGTTTCTCAGCCCTCAAACCATAACCACATTCTTGACACTAAAAATTGACACAGACACATCTGACTTTTATTAAAGAGGAGTACAAGGTTGACGATAGGTTCAAAAACCTGCGTAGTTTGTGTTGTATATTGATCATAAGTTGACACCACTGCCTGTCAAAGTTGATATATACCCCTGCTTCAGTATAATAAATCAGCTCAGTCTTGCTACCCAGCTGTCTTCTTACTCCTGCGCCTCAGACACATTGCTAACCAGTCGCACACCGGCCTCTGAGCTAACGCCGTTCAAAGTTAGACCAAACTCTATCAGAAGATACAACATGGCGCAGTCGGCGTAGTGGCGGAAGGAAATGAAGAGAACTGAGTAAGTGGAGCAGCTTCTCTCAGGCGGCATCGAAAAACCGCTGGTAATAAGGGGCCGACCGTTGGACAGTCCAAGGAGCCACTATTACTGGAGTCGGGCTCTCCAGAAGACAGGAACGGGAGACGAGCGTAGAAGCTGTCTAGTTCTAGCTGACAACCACGTGTGTAGAAGAGGTTAGATTGCAACGTTTTCTTCCGGCGTTTCTATCTTTTGATGGGAACAAGGGAATGTTTTCTCATCGAGAAAGAAAAGATATGGACTGGAGAACCCACGAACTGCACCTCCAAGCTTGTCCGAATCAAAATCTTCCTCTACCTAGACGAGAAAACCATGGTGGCAGAAGAAAGCCCTCCAACTCCAAACCAAGCCACGAACAAGAGAGTAGAGTTAGGATGAGGCGCTACAACAAGGGTACAGTCATGGAGTATACTGTTGCCCATGGCAAGAGAGAGTCTGCCACGCATACAAGATTAAGAAATTGTTGTAGCCTCAGTGTCAAGTTTTTAGCCATCACATCTTAAAGCAGGGTTCACTCCATGCGCATGTCATCATCGTCAATTCGCTTTGTCAACATCGTTGCTTTTGTTAGTAACTTGCTATGACCTGTTCAGATGTCGTATAACAAGCTTAAATTTGTCACTGATAAACTGTATTGTTTCCGAAGTCTCACTAGACTTCTTCAATTAAAACTTTTGACTGCATTATCTCAAGACTTTTCACTTTTACCAGACAATGAAGTGCTCATTACCCAAGTGCATTCTGTGATCAACAAAGTAGTGTATAATTGTAGAGACATTTATCTTCAACATACCAAAGCTGATGCCACTGTAACTAAAGTCATTCAATTTTTGCATGAAGGTTGGCCAAAAAATTGTAAAGGTTTAGATAGTGATCTCAAATGTTATTTCCACCTTAGATCTGAATTGTTTCATGAAGATGGACTGTTATACTTTAAGAATAGACTTGTAATATCATCACTCAAAAATCAATTATTACAGGAATTGCATTCTGTACACCAAGGAGTAGTTAAATGTGAGGCACTTGCCAGGCAATCTGTATTTTGGCCAGGGATCAACAAAGACATTCAGTCATTTGTTAGTGACTGTTGTATCAGTTCTGAGTTTGCTCCTGCTCTTCGGAAACCACCCATGTTACCTCATGAAATTCCGAGTCTTCCATACGAACAAGTGGCCACTGATATTTTAGACTACTATGGTGACTATTATTTAGTTGTAATTGACACCTATAGTAAGTGGATTCATGCTATTAAAATGCCTAACAAAACTGCAGAGAGCGTGATAGAGGTGTTAACATTTTTGTTTTCTATTCATGGAATTCCACTAGTTGTATTAGCTGATAATCCTTTCAAGTTTTATAAGTGTGCTAGTTTTGCCAAAGAGTTAAATTTTGCATTTGTATCCTGTAGCCCTCATTACCACCAATCAAATGGGCTAGCAGAAAAAACAGTTAGCATTGTTAAACAGTTTTTGAGAAAATGTTCCAAAGATCCCAAGGCAACATTGGCAAATTGTTTGCTGCAGTATCGGGTGACTCCCATCTCAGGTCTTGATGCTTCTCCAGCGCAATTGTTAATGAGCAGACAGTTACGAACTACTTTGCCAATTGTAACATCTCGCCTCAAGCCATCTCTTGTTCCTAATGTTGTTTCTAAGTTAAACCAAAAAGCTCAAACTGCAAAAAATTTCTATGATAAAACAGCACAGGCTAAAGAAAAGGAATTTTCTCCATCTGATTATGTTTTTGTCAAAAATCCTAGAACAACCAAGTGGGAGCCTGGTATTGTAATAGATGTATGTGAGGAACCTCGATCTTACCTTGTCAAAACTAATTCATCAAACAATGTTATCAGAAGAAATTGTGTGTTTCTCAAGCCTAGAAATGTTAATGTTCCCTCTAGTACGCCTGTTACATGTTACCTTCAAAAAAATCAAAATAATGTTCCAATTCCTGAGCCTCAAGTGCAAAACAATGATCTTGACAATAATCAAATTGTAATTCCTCTACAGGAAGTAAATCAAAATCTTGACAGGTGGCGTGAGCAGCTAAGAGAGCGTCTCGCTCAAAACCAACAGGGTCCTCAAATTCCAAATGTTCCAAGAACTCGAACCCGTGTTGTGAAGCAGCCTCAAGGGCTTAATCTTTAATTTATTTTTCTACTGTTGTAGTTTTTGCCTTTCTTCAAAGGAAGGAGGGAGGAGGAATGTGTTCATTCTGAGTTGTTAATTGTTATTGCTACAATTTGTTATAGCTTTGTTATGTTATTTATTCATTTATTTTATGTACTTGTTTGACATTTGAACCGCTCTTTTCAAAAAGGGGAGGTGTTGTATATTGATCATAAGTTGGCACCACTGCTTGTCAAAGTTTTTGTATACCCCTGCTTCAGTATAATAAATCAGTTCAGTCTTGCTAACCAGCTGTCTTCTTACTCCTCCGCCTCAGACACATTGCTAACCAGTCGCACCACCAGCCTCTGAGCTAACGCCGTTCAAAGTTAGACCACACTCTATCAGAAGATACAACAGTTTGTAGCTAGGTTCAAAATTTGAGAAACATTTAACAGTAAGTACTCTATTCGTTTCGCCTTTGTCCACTGTCAATAACATATGCACACCCCGAGTCGGGCGGGCGGAGTCCCTGCCCCGCCCCCAACCTTATGTTTTTGTGCGGGAGGGTCTCCTTGGTGAGGGATGCTGGGGAGCAGGTAGCGAACGCGAAAATCCTGTCGAGGAACAGCGGACCGGGCGCTAGAGGCTTTCGCGTTTTGCGCTTTAGCGCACGCGAAGCCTAATAAGCCAAACTACTTCACTTCGTTGTCAACATTACAAAAAAAAAGGGGTGGCCATCATAGGGCATCTTACCCTAGAACATTGTTGTTAGAATGCGTCGATTTTAGGGTAACTCCGTGGGAGTACTTTCAGGACCACCTACTATAAGCCATACAAGTTCCCCGCTGTTGCGATTTTTATTTTTTATTTATTTTTTTTTTTTGGGGGGGGGGGGTTAAGGCCTTTTTTGTCTTATGTTCCTGGGCTTATTCAGATAGGATTGCTTATCATGCTCTTCTGTTCATGGCACGAGGTATGAATAAGAAGTGGACGTTTCCTGTGCCATATTTTTTTTAGTCACTAAGACTTGTCTTTCAACCATGATACCTGGAAAGGATACCTTAAATGGAGTACGTACTTCAGCGCCCGTCACCCCCCTCCTCAGGGTGCTTGGCACGCTCTGCAGCCTCTACCATGGGGCCGATTGCGGAAAATTTGGTATCGACGGACTCGGAAAGGTGTGAGGATGGGCTAGTTGACGACAGAATTGAACAAAACTCACCGGAGTGGGGCGTAGAGGGGCCTAAATGATCGGCGCCGACGCTGTCCGCATCCGCTGCAGGAGCTGGCTACCTGCGCGGCGGGGCCGCTGGGTCGGGCGGGCGGGCGAGAGGAGTGGCCGGCCTGGCCGGCCGGGCAGGCAGGAGGGGAGCTAGGCGCTTCCCGGAACCGGCCGGCTAGGGCCGGCCAGTGTGATTTTGGGCAGGTCCAAATTTTGTCCGTCCGAGCTCAAATATTGAACAGCTTCTTACGGAAATGGACAGGGGACTTCAAGACGTTTCAAACGATTCCAAACGCCCCCTAAGCCTGACACCCGAGTCGTAAATAGGCCTCCGGCCCCAAAAGTCACAAAGCTTTCCCCTCATGGTTTAATTTGAACGAGTAACCACACCAGAGACCATCAAATATCTTAAAAATGAAAACATTAAAATGTTTTGGGTCATTCCTATGTGAAAACGCCCTCTGGCACGTGAACCGTTAAAGATACAGCCAAACGGACGAAATTTTGGTCCGACGGGTTCTACTTCTAAAAGTAAATCCTAATAAGCGTTAAACAAAATATTTTTTTAAAAAAAATTTCCGGCTTTTTGTTTTTAATTTTTTTTGACACGTCAATTTTTGAGCTAGAGGGCTTAAAATCTATACCCGAGTAGAACTGCGGAGCATCGGGCCGTCAGTAGATCGTTCCTTTCTGGTCAGCGCGCTGCGCCGAAGGAGGGTGATTCTCAGAATACGGGCCATTTGGGAGTTCCTAAAATTTTTATTTTTTTTGTCGAATTTGCTAGGTTTTTGGGTCGCAATGGTCTTAACCTTCAAATAAGATACGTGTAAAGTGGCGATAGTTCAAATCACGTACTTTTAGTACAACGTTAAAAGACCATATTGTGGTCACGTTCAATCAATGATAAAACTCAAATATTGCCTCCCGCACCTTTTAATTAGTCTTTTGTTTGCTCCACTAGTGTGTCGTACTCATATTTTACATCCAGTCATCCCCATTTTATGCGTTTTAGTATGACTAGAACATTGCAATAAATAACTTGTTTTTCGCCCCGACACTCCTCCACAGATGCCCAACCTCATAATGTACAGTTCTAAATTAACCCCTTACTACATATTTTCTCATTAAGTCATTACAACGCGTTACCTGTAACTAAAAGTTATTGAACAAAGGTCAGACCTACTAAAGGGGATACGGAGTTCACAAGTCAGAAGGTACTAATTGAAGCATTACTAATCCAGGGTTGCAGATGCAAGGATCCACTTAGCCACAAAAGAAGCAGCACATCAAAACCTTCCTTTTCATCGAAAGGGGGATTTGATATGACGCAATCGTGCCTGTGTGGAGGCGACACGGTATTCACACTGCAAAAGCGTACCAGCCAACTTTCGAATTTGAAGACAGTTTTTGACGATGACGAAGTAGGAGCTCTGCCGATTGCTTCGGGGAACATTAATAGTCCCTACAGAGTAGTACTGTGGGCGTAGAATTGTTACTCTACCTCTGCCCAGTTTGACGTCAGTGCAAACACTGTGAACTCCGTTACTTTTTGAAAAAGTTAGTGAGAACGACTTTGGTCGTCTCCTGACGAAATATAGAAAAATATTTCCACATCGAAATTCATTCCTTGCGTTACCTGGATATGAAATTGTCCGGAATTTGGCAAAGTCCGCATGAACTCAGACATTAGGAACGTACTGGAGTTCACATTTTGACCATTTAAACTGCTCTAGTCACCTACTGTTGCAGTATTCTTAGGTTTTTAGTGTTGCACCAGGTAGTATTAGTTCTTTCGAGTATCTAAATGGTATAAAAACCTTTTCAAACCATATCACACAGTTGTGAAGGGCCGCGGAATCTAAACGGCCCGTATTCTGAGAATCACCCAGGAGTGTCCAGTTGGCTGCGTGTCAGTAACGAGATAGTGACGCCAGAGAAGTCGCCAAGTCGTCGCTCACTCATCTCATTCTCGTCACACTATTGTCATTACGTTAGTCTCAGCTTGGCCACTCTGTCGCCGCCATCTGGTGACACTCTCGTCACCTTTTCGTCAGCGCCGAAAGATGACGAAGAAAAGCAACGCCCGCCGGTGGGATTCGAACCCGTTTCCTGCGGCTCGCCACTTTGACGCTACAAGCCACTCCGGCCACTCACATCTCTATAAATACACAGGAGCCGTGCCGGAACGGGCGCATCTCACGCGCGCGGTCCCTGAGAGGTCGACACCATGTCGTCACTACATGGTCACCTGGCGTCCCCAGTGCATGAAAGCAGTGCATCAAAGATTGTGTATAGTTGGTAGCAATTGCTGTGGTTTGAGCTCAAAAAGCTTGAACCAGCTATGCTTGTGTCGAGGCACACGTTCAGAAAGAAGTAGGCCTGCCTCCTGCATTCAAACCTTTTCGAAACTTTCGTGACACTATTCTCGACACTACTGAGGTCACAATTGAAGCCCCTGAAGATTTCAGGGAACAAGGCAACACATACAACGACTATAAAGGAGGTAATGTTATCATGTACCTTATAGGATCAACTTGTTGTGGCAGTGTATCATATATCATATGATAGGACGCGTCGACGGTCGCGAGCGGTATGAAAATTTTTTCGGGCCTTTCTGAAATATTCTGGAACACGAACACGGAATAAACATAAATCTACAACATTAAAACCATACACTGATAATCCACGTGTTTAATCAGTGTGCAACTACTGTCAAACACTGTACATCTCATACACAGCGAGCGTTGAATGGAAGGATTGTTTCCGGGCAAAACAACGTAAGTAAACTTTGGCCGGATTTTAGGATGTTCGCTCGCAGCTACGTGAGGGTTAGAACAGATGACTTCAAAGTGACCAAGTTGTTTTCCTTCCTGGGGAATGGGAATTTCTCGTAAGGAAAACGGTTTCCTCGGATGAAGTTTCAAAAAGAGACCAAAGCAGTGATGCTAGGTTAAAACCGGAACGTTAATCGGCAATATCCGGCAACGCCAACCTTTATTAAAACGGGATACTTTCACCTAACACAGGAGCGGTTTCTCATGTCACGCAGAGCTGTGGTTAAAATAAAAATCTAAATCAAGAATCTATCTTGAAAGCAGATGATACCAATTTAATACTATAGTATACCTGCGTTTTAATATTTCTAGTTGATTTTTATTTGTGGTGGTTTTGCATCATTTTTTAAATGTTTCACTCGTTTATCGTCTTTGACAGGCATTATTAATAAAGGGGAGAGAGGGGGAAGCGGGGAAGCGTACCGGGTGGCAGTCGCGGCTGTGGGACCTGTTGAGCAGGGGCCTGCCGCGACCGACGCGACACTCGGGCGCTCGGGCACTCACTCACTCACTCGGCCCCCCAGCGCCAAATAAATTGTTTTCTGGTCTGCCCTTATGGTTCTCTGTACTCATCGAGAGGAAAATCTAGCTGACACCTTAAAGTTACTTATATATTCTTTCTGTTTAGTCAAAATGTTTGTAAGGTATCATCTGCTAAAAACAACGAAAACCAGCAAATTTTCAAATTTTGCTGGATTTGAAGTTTCTGCGTGCGGGAAAACGACCAGAGAAAGACGGCACCCACCCCAGTGCAGGCGGGGTGGCACTATGAGAAATCGGGCGGTCAGACACTCTCCGTCTAGTTGCGGTCTCCCCCTCAAGGCCGCGCGCGTCGCACGGCTGGATCGCCCGTCCAGCTTCGGTCTGGACGGAAAGACCACTGCCAGGCGGCTTATGTGCGTCGCGGCGTCGCGGCCGTCTTAGATTGGTCTTCCCTGGCAGACCGCGGAAAAGCGAAGCGGCCAGGGCCGACCGTGTTT